GCTGACAAGCCCTGATTTACTGGGGTACCCAGGGCAATTCCAGGGTGCTGCTGCTTTCAGAATTTACTCCTCTGCTCGAGTCTGACAGCATTGTCAAGAAAGGACGAGGCAGCATAAACTAAGACCGTACAGGCTGGGAAGCAGTGAGCTTTGCTTGGAGTGATTCACCAGCTAAGTGCCTACTGCTCCACTGGGACTTACTGGGGGTTGTTTGATGCCCCCCACATCCCACTTATTATATCTGGCCTTGTCCCAGGGTCAAGATGCAGACGAGATTAGTAGACTTGGCTTAATTTTAAAATATATTCCCACGTGGTGAGGAAATAGATTGTTTAGCCAAGGGGTAAGGCTTGTTTCCTAGCCTTTAAAATCAGAATCCAGTGAACATGAGCTTCAGTATTCCCTGTTCATTTCCACTGGTTACAGAAACTACTGTTTGACTGAAACATTAGTATTTTTCCATATTGATGCTTTTCACGTGGCAATCTCAAAGAGCCAGACTTGTGCTTCCCAGAAAGAGAAAAGCCTAGCTTCCCATTGCAGCATCTCAGCCCTTCAGAAACGCACGTCCCATGCCATCTGTGTGATAACAAATTTAGAAAAATGATTAGTATCTTGGCAGCCTTCGCAAAATGTACTCAGTATGCAGGGGAAGGCAGAGGGGTTCCTCCCAAATGGGGCATTCAGTATCCGTCCGAGTCAGAGGTGATGACAGTGGCTGAGCAGGGAGCTGTTTTCTGAGAAATATGCCATGAATTTTGTAGAGCCTGATAGGACCGTGCTGCAGGTCAGCTGAAGTCTGCTCGTTCAGTCCTACTGACGGCCTTGTAATTACTGAGCCTCCAGGTCTGCAGCTCTCCTTGTCCTGCACATGGGCCCCACGTGTACCAGGACGAGCTACTTCATATAAAAGACTCTGAAAACACCCCAAAATTGGTATGATCAAAACCAGTGGCCATTTTTTGAATGATTCATGGGAACTATCCTCACTCTAAAATACAGATAACCCTGACTCTTTATTTCCCAACGCAAGAACAAATCACTGGCATTTGAGAAGCGTCTTGAAAATCCCAGGTGCTGAGAGCAGCAATAACGGCACCCCACGAGATGCAATAATATTACAATAATAGTGGCATGCATTCCGGACTATTGCATTTTTCAGGCCATCGACCAAAAACATTAACAAAGCACATCCCTTCAGGAAATGAAAAATCTTTGCAGCATGGAAAAAAAAAAAGCATGGAACTTTCACAAGTCGACTAGCTCCACTGACTTGTAGTGAAATCACCAGCACACAAAAAGTAGAGCACAGATTTTTGTCTTTCTGAGCTGGGCATTTCCTTGGTGGAAAGCATCCACCAAGAAATTCAAGTGAACACGCCGAAAGCTTTTTCTCTTTTTTTTTTTTTTTTCTTTTTCTTCAGGGTGCTTTTTAATAGACTAAACGGCAGTGTTAACACTCTAAAAACAACGGCAACTCTCCGGGGAACAGGAGGCTGCTTTTCCCTATTGTTTGGGGAGAACCAGGGCTGTTTGAAGGGATGATATGTTAATTCCGTGGCACAGTTGCTCAAGGGAGGAGGTAGCGCAGTCTCCCATGGTACAGTGCACACAGCTTACAATGGGCATGGTTAGAATTTAATTATTTGTTACAGCCCTCAAAAAGACATTTCTCCAAAGCAAACATGCTCTGAAATACATTTTTCTCCATTCGTATCAGAAAAACTTCAGTCCATAAAGCACCCTTTCTGATTTTTTACAGGCAGCTGCTGCCTGAACGCTTGAAGGAAGAGTTGGTAAGTTAAAAACCAAAATAGGCCACAGAGATTTAATTTCCTATAAAATAGCTCCCTAGAAGCTGTTTAAGCGTTCTTTACTTAGAGCAATACTCCCAAGATTTTGGAGATTTTCGGGGCAGCGTTGCAGCAAGAACTCCTTGTGTTCCCTCTGCTCAGGGGGCTCCACAAACACACCATCAGATTTATGCCTTTCCCTTTCAAAAACCACCCCACGTAACTCGTCTGCAAAATTAATTTAAATAAACACACAGAAGAAAGAAACATGCTAGATTAATTTTGATTTGGGGGGGGGGGAGCAATTGCTAATATCTCCCATAAATCTGCTGGCTGGCAGCCTCAGCTCCCATACTAACATCTCTGTCTCACACATCCCTATGCTGCCAGTGGTTAGACAACTCGTTATAAAACCTACAAGGGGGACTGTGTATTTATGAATGCAATAATTAATCAATGCATAATAAGTACGGTATGCATTTTTCTCTCCATGTGCAGACAGCTCTGATTACCAGGTGGGTTAAATGGCCACGAGTGTCTTTTGTTCCCGGGAGCTGCTTCCCCCACCCTGCAGCGTTAGCAAAGACAAGCTCATTGTATTAAAGCCTGCATTCATCCCCAAAACCACCCAAATACTGCTGAATTGATTAATTTTGCAGGTAGAGGCTTTCAGAAGAAAAATGCCATTGTTGCTGCCACAACTACGAGGCTGTCACGATTTTCCCTTTAAACTGCTTTTTCCCGAGGCTCAGCTGCGAGGCACGCTGGGGGCTGTGAGCTGGCAGACTGGCTAGCATCTTACCAACATATTTCATTTTAATGGGTTTATTTTTAAATGGTTTCAACTCTTTGAATTAATGAGATTAAAAAAAAGAAACGAGACCGACATAAAAACGCCAAGCGGAGTCCTTTCCCCCTTCTTAACCTGTCTTTTAAATAGAACCAGGTAATATTTATTTTCAAGAAACTCAATAGTACCCAATTAAAACCAGGATTGCCTACTTCTTCATGAAAATTGACCATCAAAGGGCTTCAATGGAAAGAGACACCACCCTTTCCCGAGCCTCCTCACTGATAAACGGCACCAAGCCAGGCCCCACAGTTAATATTCATATTAAATCAGTAGGGATGTGCTTTTCCCTTGCCAGAAGTCTCCTCCTCTGCCACCACCTTCTGCAGCACCATTTTCGGCCTCAATGGGGAAACACCAACGCTGTGCCCCAGAGATGTTCTTCCCAACTAACCCCCTGGCAAGGCTAATGTTCATCACAACCAGAAGATCGCAGAGCTCTCCATTCAGCCTGGAAGCCAGCGCCTGGAGGACACCGCTATGTGTATTATATATATAAAAAATATTAATACTTCATAACGGCCCACAAAGGGGATGACATGGCTTTATTCTGCCAATATGCAGAGGATTAAGGATGTCTGCTTGAAGCCACTAACAAACTGAACAGGAGAATTACAGTAATTCCACTAAAACCATGCCGAATCCAAGGCACCAGCTGATGACAATTTGTTAACCCTTTCTGAAAATGTCACGGGCACAGCCCTGCAGATGGGACTCCAACCAGCCACGCCAGGAGGTTCTGCTTAAAGAACAGGCTCGTAGGAGCCACGGGCAACGCCGAGGACATTCTTCACAAAACCTCTCAGCGTTTTGAGATCTCAATCCTTGGTGTGGAGCAATTCTAAAGGGAGCTCAAAAAAAACCACATTAGCACGTCAAATACAGATGAAATATGTGCTTTCTTTTCTGTTGCTCACGCAAGCCCACTTTCACTGAATTCAGTGAAATTCAGTAAATTCTCTTCTGTTGCTCACACAAGTCCACTTTCAGTGCAAAGTGTCTCACAGAAAACAATAGCAAGATACATTAAAACCTTGCATGTCTTTTGCCATTAGGTCACCACCCAAACGCTGCTTTCACGACTTCAATTAGCAACACATTGCTTATGTCAATACCCGTATTAATGCCCTAAAATACTAACTTCTATTACTTTTTAATTAACAGCCAAATGTACTGAATAATTATTCACATGTAGTTATTAGGAGAAATGTACTGAATGCAATTACATGTCAAGAGCTGTGACTTATGAATCCTTCCCACAACACTTCTTGTGCCAGAAAATACCCTGGAAAATTCAGCAACAGTTAAAGGCTTTCCATAGCCAGGAGACCTCCAGGTTGGAATAAACAGGATAATAATAAACTCCAATGCAGGAGTCTGTCTACACAGAGTGTATCTCAGTCACCATTTCCAGATGCAGCAGCCACACTTAACAGCAAGTTATTACACACAGATTTAGCAAGTCTTCTGCAAAAACAATGGGAGTTGACTAGGAATTCAGAACCTCCCTTAAAACTAAGCCTGGCAACATGATGAATGATGGAGACTTTTCTCTGGATTTTGAAAAACATTAAATGTTATTCCGAACGCAAAATATTGAACACAAAAAAAAAAAACAGTGAATGTGCGTTTGAGAAAGACTTCACTCAAGAACCTCGATATTTTAAGGATGTCAGAGGTAAAATTGGGAAACGGTGAGTATCAAGGTAGAGTAATAGAGTCATAGAGTTGTCCAGGCTGGAAGGGACCTCCAAGGGTCATCTAGTCCGACCTCCCCGCAGTCAGCAGGGACACCCCCAACTAGACCAGGTTGCCCAGGGCCTCGTCAGGCCTCACCTTGAATATCTCCAGGGATGGGGCCTCAACCACCTCCCTGGGCAACCTGTTCCAGTGCTCCACCACCCTCACAGGAAAGAACTTTCTCCTCACCTCCAGTCTAAATCTGTTCCCCTCCAGCTTGAAGCCATTGCCCCTCGTCCTGTCACTACAGGCCTTTCTAAACAGGCTCTCCCCAGCCTTCCTGTAGGCCCCTTCAGGTACTGGAAGGCCGCTATTAGGTCTCCCCGGAGCCTCCTCTTCTCCAGGCTGAACAACCCCAGCTCCCTCAGCCTGTCCTCGTAGCAGAGGTGCTCCATCCTCCTGATGACTGATTAGTAGTACTTACAGCATGATGCTAACCAAACCCTGTTAAACCCACCGTTTAACAGCTCTAGCCGTAATTCTGTGCACACGCACACAGACTAAGTAGCTGCATTTTCTCATGCAAACACACACACACACACACTGGTGTGTACACACCAGATTAAAAAAAAAAAACACAACAACAGTCAGCCAACAAAGGATATTAAATCCTATACCTCTGAGTCATAATCTTATAGGCATCTGGCAGATAACAGCGGATATTCTCCATCTGAGCAGGATCAGAGTCACAGATTTTATCATCCGTCCTCCCGTAGTTGGCACTTTCGATCATGATGACATCTGTTCCCGGGCAGCGGAGCTCGATGGGGTAACTCTCGCAGGACAGCTCCCTCCGCACCACGGCCATGGGCACCGGCGCTCGGCTGAAAGCTGCAAGGATTAACACAGAGACACAGCAAACATTTTACTTTCCACGCTGGATTAAAAGCAGAGCGGTGGGTAGCGGCGGGTTTGATCCATGTGCCGCACTGAGATAGTGTTGGCACCGCTGAGACAGGGTCTGCAGAAGCGGGGTCTGATCCCCAGCTTTCTGGCTGCCCCAAGAAATCACTTCTCCACTCAGTGACTTGATTTTCTCATCTCGAAAATAAGCTCACGGTCCCTTTTATAACAGCACTTTAGAAATCTCCTCTTGAAAGAGGTAAATGGCAACTTATGGCATTGCTATTACTTCTACTTACCGGGTGAAAAGCTAGTTAGCTTTGATATATAAAATTACAGTCCTGGCTTGTACCTGATCAATCAGTGGAAATTTTCTGACAACAAGCAGTCCAAGCACCAGGATCCCACCTGCTCAGCAAGACTGCATCTGTCCTCCTGCAGATGTCATAACATCTGCATTGCTCCTGGTCCTTTTTTTTTGGTCTTTGGAAAACATGAGCTTAATGGCTTTTGCTGTTGCCTGCAGCATGCCAGGGGATGGCCTGCGGGCTCTGGCAACCATCCCCAAAATTGGGCTCTGAAATGATATCTTCCATGGAAAGGCCAATATATGGACACTGGGTGATTAAAGGTCAGTCTCAGCTTTGCATCAGATTCGCCTGGGTGTTCAACACTAGCAGCAGTTGTAAAGTCAATTTAAAGAGCTCTCAGAAATCTTACCTGTTTTGAAAGAAATCCAGGCTACAGTTTGCAAAAGAAAAACAGAAACACTCTTTGAGATGCCTTGAAATCAAAGCCCTAAAGCATTAGTAAATAAACTCACACGACAAAACCCAATAATATTTCCCATCTTTACAGCCTCTTTGATCCACAGATCTTCAACAGCTTGACAAATGTGAATGTATTAATCCCCAAATATCCATGAGCTGTCATTCTCGGCTCAGATACCGCTGGGAACCGAACACTTGTTTTCCAGTCAAGCACACCAGCCAGGAACCAAAACAAAAGCCAACCCCTTCCTTTCCTCATTCACAGAATCACAGAATGGTTTAGGTTGGAAGGGAACTTAAAGATCACCTAGTTCCAACCCCCTTGCCACAGGCAGGATCACCTCCTACTAGACCAGGTTGCTCAAAGCTCCATCCAGCCTGGGATTAATATCCATCCAACCTGGAAATTAATAGGAAAAGTCCTCAAATTCCGTATTGGAAGATTTACTTCTCTAAACCACGTAATGAAGAGATAATACTTGATACAATTCCACAGGAATAAAAATTTACACCAAAAGGGTTTCCAGTGGCAGAGATGATGTGCCCTTTTTGGCTCTATTTTGTACTACTTCCAACCACAAAATTCAAGATATAAATACGCCTGTAACTCTGTGCAGTCAGAGAAGGTTTAACCCTCTAACAGATCCAGGGCCCATCTGACATCAAGAATCTTTCAACAACTCACTTTTCCCCCTGGCCTCATTCTAAAAACGCCAAAACACCCTTCCCAAAACCAAAAATCCTTTCCAATGCACTGTCGTCTTGTCCCATAAAACTTCCACATGGTACATGCACACCAAGTTTGCTTACGGAAATAAGAGCACAGCGATGTTTGTCGAAATACCCCTTAACTGTACCAAGGCTGCTCTGTCTGTCTGGCAGGTGGCAATCCAGCACACAACTTCTGTGAAGCCTTTTATAATTGTCAGTTTTCTCATTTAGACTTGTTACCGGACAGATAAACATTCCCATTTCTGTAGATTTGCAGGGATTACTCTAATATCGTGTCCTTGCTGATGTGCCAGAGTTGGGGACTGATTACCAAACTCCCAAGACAGACATGTTCTTGAATAACAGCTTCTACAATTAGCACAGCTTTAGGGTTGGGATCATGTAAGATGTCCTCCTTCCCTGAGATCAGAAAAACAGTTTTGCCCTGAGCTCATGTTGCACCGTGTATTCGTGTAGTGCCAAAAACCCTTACTGGGACCAAGCTCTCAGCAGGAAAGCAAGGAGGACAAGTGTGAGCCTCTGAGATGCAACACCTTGTTCTTCACCTTGGCTCTACGTCACTCATCAATGCCAAGGTGAGAGGAGGAAGGATTGGAGATAAAGTTAGAGGCAGCAGCTGATTGGAGAGATAAGTTGATTGGAGAAAGGCAGAGTCAACAAAGCCCAGCAATTTTAGACTGGCAACGCGGGAGTTGCTAATATTACATTACTTGTTATAGTTCCCACTGTAGAAAACAATTCACTTGTACAAACTTGGTGTACCTGTCCAACAGCACCCCTGTTGATACGCAGGGAATCTTAACTTCTGTGTTTTGTTGGAAATAAGACATTAGGAACTGCTACCAGCAATATGGTTTTATTAAATTAGAATTTCATCTGAGGGCAAAGATAGCATCCTAGTTTCACAGCAACTCTATCAACAACGATGATGTAGTACTTCAGGCTTCTGGCAGAGGATTTCACAGTTAATATGAAAATACGGAGGTTTAGTAAAAGCTATTAGACATGTTTCTGTACCTGGTGTGAGAGCACATTTCTTGTAGCTTGGATTTCTCGTATCCTGTACATGAGACTTTATGGCACCGACCGACTAAAATTGCACGAATTGTCAGTCCCTGGTACCCCCAAAAAACCCCAAAACAAACACCCTCCAGCACAGTAACAGCTCACGTTCCACTTCCCAAACATCTGTCCAATGTTCGCATTTGGACAGATGCAAACATTTCTAGATGTGGCTTTTGGTTTGCTGGAATTCACCTTTTTTTCTCCTCACATAATCACCCAACCGCTCACCATCAGGAGGATGGGCTTCACTGACAGGGCTCACTGTGCTGTCAGGGAATCAATCCTGGATATACAGCCTAAAAGAAAAGTGACACTCTGGAGAAACATTAGGGATAGCTGAATACTGTAATGCAAGATGGCAAGAGAAAGCAATGCTGTGTGTTTTCCATCCTGCCATCCTCCACCAATTCAGTTGCTCTGCATAGCTTTTTTCCTACCCCGATAGCTGCAATAAATACTCCGAAGGGAGATTAGAGGTTGGCTGCTCATCTCCTTGTAAGCACATTTCCTGATGTTGTGTCCCTATATGATAATCTCACTTAAACATTTTTACCGGTTGTCCTGTAAGGAGCAAAGATTTTTTTGCTTTTTACTTAAACTTTACCGGTTTTCCTGTAAGGAGCAAAGATTTTTTTGCTTTTTGCTATGAAATAAGATACGTCTAAGCCCATCTGTGAAATACACAGCACGATTGCATTACCTCATTAATACACTCCTCTCTCCTTCGAGTAGCTCTCTCACCGAGCCTCTCACTGAACTTCTTATTTAATTTCTTAAATAAGTGACCTAATTGTTGGCTTGAAGTAGAGGAGCTGATGGCTGCTTACTGCTTTGGAAAAGAGGTGTCTCTTTTTCCAGGATCCTACGTGCAGACAGCCATCTAAATACAGACAGCAGAACTTAAAAGATCTCGAAAAACATTCTTTTTAACATTAAAACATGCGCCAACTTGATTTTTCTAAGTGCGGCCATTTGGTGGGAAATCATCCTGTTGAGCATCTGCAGGGCAAAGTGAGAGCAGAGGCAGAAACAGCGACAGATAATGACAGGATTTTATCTGGGTGATGTAGAACTTGGTTGTCTCTGCCGATTTCAGGAGCTGGAAAATTAAGTAAGTCATCAAAATCTTGTGCTTTTTCTCCCCCTCGCTTTTGACCTCAGAACATAATTGCCTCTTGTCATGCCTGCAGGGCACGGGCTTGTAGTTATCACTGTGTGCTTAATCAAATGCTGAAATAGCCTTTAAATTGCGCGTCTTCGTGGCTGCTAGACACTTGTTGAGCTTCATTATGTTTAGAGGCACGATGGTAGTAGATGACCTTTTAAAAGAAAAGGGTGGGATGATGCTTTTAATTAGGTTTTATATGCAATTTTCCCAGCAAAATTATGCTCTGGCTCAGAATTTTCAGAGTGAAATTTCAGTGCATATTTAAGGGTGGCGAAACAAAAGCTGGGAATGAAGAGATAATTTATTTTCATAAGCTCTGCACATGATTTCCTCTGCCCAGCTAAATACCTGACTTACTGACCCAAAGGGAACACAACACACCGGGGGAAGAGGTTTCCAACTAATTTGGAGGAATGCAGTTTCGCAGTACTTACTATTCCCACAGTTCACCTTGACTCTGTGGAAAATAAAAGCAAATGAGAGAGTAATAATAAAAAAATCCCCCCTCTCCCCTTACTCTGAAGCTTACTCAGGTACAGGTAGGAGCTGAAATCCCTCTCAGACACTGAGTCAAGAGCCCTTACACGACTGTCGCTCCCCAAAGAAAAACTCATGCTTAAGTGCTTTTCTAAATCAGGGCCCTACTTTTCCCTATTAAGATATAAAATCTCATTTGCAGTGTGCAAACATAGCTCAGTGCTTCTGTCTTCCTTTTCTTTAATGGAAATTATTCCTGGACTTTGATTTCAACAACAACATCAGTAGCAAACAAAAGCTCAGGTTAAGGATAGTGACAATAAACATCTTTCTCCAATGTACAATACTCTCATTCCCCAGTATTTTCATTGCTAACACCCACATCCCCCCAGGCAACCTTGGGCTTGCTTTCTTATTTTATAGTAGATATCAGAAAAAGTTTGCATCTTCCCTTTGGGCACTTTCCCCAGAAGCAGTGACCCCCCCTTAACCAGCAAACAGCCAGCTACGAAAAGACCTCACAAACTGCAGGAGCATCCTCTTATATGGTGGGATGGTGTATACAAAAAGAAGACAGAAAAGAAACACAGTACTGTGCAACACTCCGGCCATGGCAACCAAGAAAAGGCTAAAAAAACCCAACCCCTCACGCCCTTCCCCGTGCACTTCATGTGAAGGTTGAGGTCAACTATCTTATGGTTCCATAAATTGCTTAATCTACCTCCATTATAACACTCAAACGACAATTGCAAGGGATCTGCTTCCAGGTTATGTGA